CCGCCTGTCTGCCCCCCACCTCCCCTCCTGCCGTCCCCCCGCCTGCCTGCCTCCACCTGGCACTGGTGCTGCAGCTTCTTGGTGGGGCGCCCCACTATGTAGATCTGCATGGGGGACAGGCTGATGGCGCTGTAGACCGCTACGTCCTTGGTGGAGCCGTAGGCCGCATGTACGCGCAGGTGCAGCTGTGGGCCAGGGGACCCCGGCGCAGGGCGGAGGAAGGGGGAGGCCGGTCAGGCCATAGTCCCGCCCACCTCCACGTGGTTGGTGCCGCCTCCGGGATCCCAGCCCCGCCCACCCCATCCCACCTGGATCACATCCAGGACCCACCTCGGAGATGAGCAGCTTCAGGAAATTGGCCTTGTGCCGCAGCGGGTCGTGCACCAGGCCGTCACAGAAGGACACCACACCGTGGGGGAAGTTGTGCTGGGCCAGCCAGGCCACCACCCGCTGCTTCTGCATGTCTGGCCGGCCCGTGACATAGATGATGAGGTAGCCCAGGTCCTGCCAGTGCCTGCGAGTGGGCCACGGCTCTCCCAGCTGACCTTTTCCCCTCCTGATGCCCCCCAGGCTACTGACTGGCACGGCTCTGACTGCACTCAGAACGGCAGAGACGTGACAGTGGCCAACGGTGAGAGGGTAGCAGCCTGCCTTCGGCTCACACTGTCCTGAGTGGGGGTGCTTCAGCCCGCTCACCCCTCACCCCCACCCCGAACAGCTGCCCTAGCAGGTCCTCTGATGGAAGCCCAGACTCCCTCACCGGCCGTGGCCACGCAGCCTGGTACTGCCAGCCCCTCAAGCCTGTGGTCCCCGCTGCTTCCGGGCACTGAGCCTGGTCCTCAGTAACCCTGCCCTCCAGCCCCAGGACCTACTCACCGCACCACGTCCACAGCCCCGGCCCGCACCTTGGGGTCACTGCCCATAATGGACACACTGGCCGCAAATGAACCATCAATGCTGAAGACCACAAACTCCGTGCCCTTGGGCAGCACACTGATGTAGCTGTCAGCGAACGTGTGGTCCCCCCTGCAGGAGGGGGTCTGTCAGGACGACTGGCCACGGGCCCTCCTGCTCCCGCCCTGGGTTCGGCCTGCCTTCGTGTACCTGACCACCATCTTGATGGGGTAGACGCCCACACCCAGGCGATGGGTCTCAGGGAGGGTGTAGGAGACACGGCCACTGCTGTTAGTCACCAGGGTGTCCAGGTACAGCCACTCCCCTGAGGGCGGCTGCGTCATGATGTGCACATCCACCTGCAACCAGGCCACAGTCAACAGGTACACAGGCCTCTGGCTGCCCCGACCCTGCGCCCCAGCTGCCCCGTGCCTGTCGGCTGCGCTCTGTTCCCCCCTCACCTTCTCCCCTGTCAAGGTGACCATGTCCAGGGGCCCGTACATGAACCGGCCTGTCACCACTTGTGGGCCATCCTCGTTGGCCACAGCGTCGTTGATCCGGTGATTGGCTGTCACATTCTGGGGGAGGGATCAAGGTTGGGGCGGGGGCAGGGAGCCTAGGGGACCCTCAGTCCTGCTCTGCCAAGCTGGCCAGGGAATCTGGGAAGGAGCGTGCGGTACTGCCCGGGGTGTAAAGGCCAGCCCCGCAGACCTGTGCCCCATCAGCAGCCTGGCATGCTGCTCTGAATCTCGGTTCTCCTGTCAAATGGGCACTCGTGCTCCCCACACGCTGGCCCTGGCCCTCCACCCGGGGCCCTCACCCGTAGCTTCACGTGGGTCCTCTTGCGCTGCCACTTCTCACGTGGCTTGGAGGGGGTGAACACGGACACCTCCTTGCCATCCAGCTCCAAGACACTGGAGGTGTCATGCCGCATGACCTGGGTAGGGACAAGACGGACGGCTGTGGCCAGGCCTGCCCGCAGGGGCCCCCCTGTGCTGGCCTCCCGGTGCGCCCCTCACCTGTCTGAGCAGGAAGGAGACCACGTCTGTGGACTCCCAGTAGCTGGCGTGGAACAGGTGGGGCAGGGCCACGGTAGGGAAGGCTGTCAGGGCGTCTGGGCAGTACAGCGCGTAGTCGATCCGCTTCTGGCCCCACCACTTGGCTGCGACTGTGAAGGAGGGTCCGTGAGTGTAGGGTGGGGTGGCTCACCCGTCCATCCACCCCTCCAGGGCAGGAGGGACAAGCCTGCAGCCGAATCGAGTCCTCTCCTCCCAGGCTGGCAACAGAGGGCCCGGTGGGGGTGGGATAGCACCAAGGTCAGAGGGCAAGGGGACCAGTGCTGTCTCAAGGCTGGGAGGCTTGGAGGAGGCCCGGGGCTGGGTCTCATTCCCCAGTGGGTCCCCAAGCCTTAAGATGTAAGGGGTTTTGGCTCCTGAGGTCAGGTTCTCCCAGCAGCTAGGTCTCCGCCGGCTGAGCTGGACAGCCCAAGGCTCTTGTGTCCAGGGAGCAGGCTGGGCCCAGAAGGTTCTCCTGGCCACGTGCGCACCTCCCCCAGCCGTGCTCCAGCACCAGTTCCCATGGCCCTTCCTCCTGGGTGAGCCCCCAGCCCAAGCCCCGCAGCTCCCTGGTGCGGTGCAGGGGGTCCACAGAGCAGTGACACGTGCTTGGGGAAGTAGTGACCCCAGGTGACGGCCCTTCCTCCTGGGTGAGCCCCCAGCCCAAGCCCCGCAGCTCCCTAGTGAGGTGCAGGGGGTCCACAGAGCAGTGACACGTGCTTGGGGAAGTAGTGACCCCAGGTGACAGCCGGTCCATCTGGGTGAGTCCCTAGCCCAAACCCCCAGCTCCCTGGTGAGGTGCGGGGAGGGGGGGTCCACGGAGTAGTGACACGTGCTTGGAGAAGTGAGTGACCCAGGTGAGAGGACAGCCGCGGGCTGCGACAGCGCACCCGGTACCTTCTCTGATGTCCAAGTCTGGAAGGCAGGAGACCTGCTCCAGGCTGGGGCTCGGCTGCCCAGCCTGAGGATGGGGGCTGGGGCTTGTGGGGGGCTGGGGGGGCAAGGCGAGCAGGGACAGGCGCCTGACGCTGGGGGTGTGGCAGAGCGCCGCTGGGGCCTCTAAGGAGCAAGAACAAGGGACAGCCAGCTGTGGAGGGGCACCTGCTGCTGGCCCACGGCTGGGCCCCGGCTTTCTCATGGGAGGTCCTGGCCGTCAGCCCAGCACTGTCTGCCAGTGGGGCAGGAAGGACGGATGGGCACCCCGAAGCTGGCCCCTCTTTGTATGGGGATCCCAGCAGGTGGGCTGCCAGCCAGCACTAAGGGAGGCCTCTTGGGCTGCAGAAGCGGCCATGGTGAGGAGACCTAGGCTCTCTGGTGTCCCCAGCCATGTCTCTCTGCTCTAACTGCCACTAGACCTGGGCTTGACTGCCCACACACAGAGCTCTTCTGTCCTTGGTGGCTGTGTGACCCAAGCCTTGAGCAATCTCGACCACTCTGGGCTGGCCAGTGGCTCCCAGTGTCTGAGCCAGGCTACCTCACTGACCACTTCTCCTCAGCTCTGTCTCTTCAGGACCCACACAGAAAGGTGGGATCCCTCACCCTTGACACTGCTGACCGTTCTCTGCTGGGGGCCATCCCGAGTACTGAAGGATGTTTACTAGCACCCTGGGCTCTCCACCCGCTACGTGCAACCAGCCCTGGTTGTGTCAGTCACAGATGCCTCCAGGCTGGCCCAGTGCCCCCGCCGCTGCAGGGTGGAGCTGCCTGCTCAGGTGCGTAAGCCCCTCCTTGACGTGCGTGGGCCTGGGTGCTGGTCACTCACTCTGGGCGATGCTGGACGCTGCGTAGCTCTCCACCACACCGGACACCTGGCTGGCGATGCTGATCTCGCTGGCTCGGCGGAAACCACGGCTGGGGGGCGCTGTGCTGGGCGAGGAGGGGGCAGCGGGCTCTTGGAAGACAGAAGTGTGGCTCTGGAGGGCGTCCGCTGTGGGGGCAGGGATCAGAGATGACAGTGTGAGAGGCTCCAGATAGCTAAGCAGGGGAAGGGGAGGTGGCCCAGGGTGAGTGGGTGCGAGCAGGGGCGTCTGAGCACGGCTGACAGCAAATGTGGTATGAGTGCAGGGAGGGCAGGGCCCAGGCTGGGAACAACAGAGGCAGGTAGAGACAGACAGACGGACAGAGAGAGCAGCAGGGTGGCGGGTGGTGAGGTCCCCCACCAGCCACACATATCCCTGCACACAGCTAGCGAGCTCCTGATCTAGTTCTGTGGGGCCTCGGGGACCGGAGCCCCACAGCAGTGGACGCTATCTGGGGCATTAGCACTTGGGATTCCCACGCTAAGGCTCAGGCAGGCACGGCCCTGGCCTTCCTCCCACAGGGAGCCCTCCCGGAAGGTGGACTAGGGCAAGGGCTGCGGCTCAGTCCAGGGCACTGGGGTCCGAGGGCAGGACGTGGCAGGACATACAGGCTCTTCTCTGGGACCAGAGTGGCCTCAGCCAGCTCTCCCACTCTCATGAAGGCCCTGTCCTGAGGCACGCTCACACCCTGGCTGGGCCTCCCTTGGGGTCTGACTTGGAGGTGGCCCCAAGAGGCCTGCTCCTCACTCCCAGGCCTCTCAATTTGCACGGGGTTTGAGGGGTTCCTGAGCACAGCGTCAGCCCCAGAAGCAACACCACCCCCTCGGGAGGGTACACACACTCAGCACAGCCCGGGCTCTGGCGGGGGCCGTCCTGCCAGGTGGGCGTGGGCACAGGGATGCTGGTCTCCAAGAAGCCGTCCCCGGGCGGAAGGGGGGCCAGGGGGCCGCCCTCCAGGACCAGCTCGGGGTGTCTCTGCACGCTCTCGACTGGAAACAGACAGGGGTGGAGAGAACAGGACAAGAACAGATACTTGTGTGGGTGGGGCACACGCAGACATGGGCACACACGCCACATACATGTGCGCACACACACACACGTGTGTGCTTCCGGGTGGCTGGGCCGCGGGGCGGCTCTCGTGGCCTCCTGGCCCCTCTCCCCGTGGGGTGCACAGCCCCGCTCACTCACCCAGCAGCGTGGAGCAGCCGTCCCCCAGCGGGTAGCGCTGGTAGCGCGGGATGCTGAAAGGCGGCAGCGCATGGAAGCGGCGCTCCAGCAGTGGCTCGAGGCGGGAGGCGGACGGGTCAGCGGGGTGGAACAGGTTGTAAAGTTGCTGGCAGGCGGGGCGCAGCTGGAACACTGGAGGGGACAGTGCAGAGCCTCAAGCCACTCTGCTCCCGGCAGGGCAGGCCAGGTGGGGTGGGCACTGAGGCACCTCGGACTGGGTCCAGCTTGTCAGCTTGGCATCAGTTTGGGCTACTGTCCCTTTTGGCTTTTGTGTTCAGGGCGTCCACTTTGACCCGAGTGGCCCCACTGCATCTGGGTGACCAGGAGCTGGGGAGAAGTGACTGCTGTTGTTCAAGCGAAAAATAAGGCTCCAGGAACTCATGGGATACCACAGACATGTTCTTACTAACAGATGCGGTTCGGAATTTGCTCATAAGGTGGTTCCAGGAAATCTGGAGGACTGCTATTTGACCAACTAACCGGAAGAGATCCGTGTTTGTTCCTATTCCCAAGAAAGGGGATGCAACAGAATGTGGGAATTCTCAAAACAATACCATTAATATCACAATACAAGCAAAATATTGCTGAAGATCATCCCTAAATGGCTACAATAAATAGTACACTGACAGAGAACCACTGGAAGTTCAAGCTCGGTTTAGAAGAGGCCATGGCACCAGGGACATTATTACTGATGTCAGATGGACCTTGGTAGACTACAGAGAATACCGTAAGAATGATTATTTCCGCTTTATTGACCCTGCAAAGGCATTTGACAGTGTGGATCATAACAAATGAAGGTTAACAGAGAAAAATGGGGATCCTAGAACATCAATACCTAGACCAAGAAGCTGTTGTCTCGACAGAGCAAGGGAACACAGCATGGTTTAAAATAAAGTGCGTGTCAGGGCTGTATCCTTTCTCTCTACCTATTACATCTGTATGCTGAGCAAATCATTTGAGAAGCTGGACTCCACGAAGAAAAAGGTGGCATCAGGATAGGAGGAAAACTTTTAAAAAACCTGAGTTAGATAGATAACATGACCTCGTTTGGTGAAAATGAAGGTCTCGGGATGCTAACTGCAGAAGACCAGACACTACTACAGTCTTCAATATTGTTTACATCGAATGTCAAGAAAACAGAAATCCTCACCAACGGACTGACAGGCAACATCATGACAGATGGAGAAAAGACTGAAATTGTCAACAATTTCACATTACTTGGATCCACAATCAATACCTTTGGTGCTGGTAGTAAAAAATCAGAAGATACATTGCTTTTGGAAAGTCGGCTATAAAGGAACTCTTCAAAGTACAGAGGAGCAATGATGTCAGTTTGAAGACTAAGGTGCAACTGATTCAAGTCATGGTCTTCTCAACCACTTGCTATGCATCTGAGAGCTGGACAGTGTTTAAGGATGACAGACGAATCATCAAAGCCTTTGAGTGTGGTGCTGGAGAAGAGAAGGAATATCCTATGGACTGCCAAAAGCACAAACAAATATGTCTTGGAGAGGGTACAGAGTGCTCCTTAAAGACATGGATGGTGAAGCTTCATGTCACACACTCTGGTCATATTGTTAGAAGGGGCTGTTTTTTGGAAGGGACATCGTGGTTGGAAAGGTGGAGGGTGGTGAAAGACAGGAAGGTCCTCCATGAGATGGACTGTCACAGCGACTGCAGCAATGGGGTCACGTATGTCAGGTGATGAGGATGGCACAGGAAAGCACAGGGTTCAGATCTGCTGTTCAAAGGGTCGCTATGAGTCACACTTGGCACAAAACCACCATCACCTATGCATCTGAAAAGTGGACAACGAGTAAGGATGACAGAAGGAAAACGGACGTCTGAGCTGGGTGTTGGAGGAGAGTGCCGGATATCCCACGGGCTGCCAAAGAACGAACAAGCCCTTAGAGGTGGGCATGATGAAGTCCCGTCTCACAGCCTTTGCGTGTGCGGTCAAGAGGGGCCAGTCCTTGGAAGGAGACCTCACTGTGGGACAGGTGGAGGGTCCGAGAAGGACGAAGGCCGTCACGATGGACAGACACGGTGACTGCAGCAACGGCTTGAGCGTTACCAGAGACTGAGGATGGCACAAGACTGGGAGAGCTTCCAATCGCTATGAATCACAGATGACTCGATGGCTTTATAACAACAACTGGACGCTCAACAGACTACCAGAGGCCACGCCCACGGCCATCCAGATGGTCCCAACCCATGGCAATGCGCCATCTGTCCAGGGCTGCATGTCTTTATCCCATGGAGGGCGGGGAGACTTGAACCACTGACCTTTCAGTTAGTAGACCAACATGCAATGCACTACTTCACAACATCACCCCCACTGGGAAACCAGAAAGTCAGTGACAGTGCTTGTCGTGGGGTCTGGACCGGGGCCTGCGCCACCTCCCACATGTGCCCCTCATCACTGTGGTGGCAGGGCCCTGGTCTGCTTTCTGGTGAGTGATGGGAGAAGGTCCTGGGAGCAGCACTGACCGGCACATAGGAGAGGCCCTGCGGGTGGTGGCTGCTCTGGCCCTCCCCTCTCTGGCCCTCAGCTTCTTCACTTGTGGAATGAGCCTCTGCCTTGAGAGCTGGGAGACAATGAGGCTGGGGTGTGACTGACCTCCCGACTGGGGACCAGGGAAGAGCATCAAGCTCCAGGGGGTCAGAGGCTACGTGCTCACCGTCCAGGGCGGGGATGACGGTCTTCCTCAGGGCCAGGACCAGCCCCAGCGGGCACCCGAACAGGAAGAGGTCAGCGATCTCAAAGTCGAACCTGCCCAGGGCCCCTGCCCCTTCCAGTAGGGCTGCGCTGCTGGCACGGCGGGCACCGGGCTCTGTCCTCAGCACACTGGCATGGAGGCTGCAGGCGCAGGGGCAGGCCACACAGTCACAGCTGTGACCTCTGGGCAGCCCTCCCCTGGATGCTTCCCGGGTTACAGCCCTCAGGGCTCCACAAGTCTGGCGAGGCTGGTCCCTGTGCTGTCCACCCACCCCCTTAGGACGGTGGTGCCTGGTCAGTGTGGGCTCTGCATCTCCAGACCAGCCCACCCTCAGACACCATCCACTCTTGCCCACCTGACCCTGCAAGCCACCTCCTGAAGGACCATAGGTCTAAGCTGGGTGTCCCAGGACCAAGACTAGACAGTGCTCCCACATGCCTGGCAGGGACGTGAGGGTTTGTGCCACAGTGACAGGGCCTGGGTAGGGTTGGAAGAGCTGGTCCTGGCCTTAGTTTCAAGCTACCCCTTCTTCCAGGCTCCCTACACAGCCCACCCCACCACCTGGACAGATAGGCCTTGTGGGCTGCCCCGTCCTAGGGCTCTCCTCTGCACCAGGCCACGACCTGCCCCACACACCTGGACAGGTAGGCCCGGTGCTGCTGCCCGCCGCCAGGTCCCCTCTGCACTGTGCAACGACCTGCCCCACACACCTGGACAGGAAGGTCTGGCGCTGCTGCCCTCCCTGGGGCCCCTCTGCACCCTTCCCTGGGACCCCTCTGCACCGGGTGATGACCTGCCCCACACACCTGGACAGGAAGGTCTGGCGCTGCTGCCCTCCCTGGGGCCCCTCTGCACCCTCCCCTGGGACCCCTCTGCACCAGGTGATGACCTGCCCCACACACCTGGACAGGAAGGCCTGGTGCTGCTGGATGGTGTCCAGCTCATAGGTGGATGAGTCACTCCTTTTTCGAGGCAGCTGCCTCTTGGGCTCGTCCCCGCCATTGCTGCGGGGGATGTCCACGTTGCTGCGGCTCAGGTGCCGTGTGCCCTCCAGGGCAGAGCCTCCGCTGCCACTGCCACTGCCAGAGCAGTGCGCCGCGTTCACCAGAATGCCCGGGGACAGCAGGTCACTGTCCTAGAAGAGCCCATATGACTGGGGGTGAGTGCCAGCATGGGCCTTCATCAGCAACCAGGTAATGCTCTCCTAGCCCTCACAGGGCGCAGCACTGTTCCAGACCCAGCCACGGCCATGTCCTAAAGGCTCATGCCAGCTGAACTTGCCACCCTGATCCACCTTCACCACGTGCCACCCCGTCCTACACAGTGGCAACGAGGGCCCCCGTCACAGGAAGGCCAGAGGCGAGCGTATCTCCCAGAGCCTCCCACACCCACAAGGTGGGCCTCGGCCCCTGCTGACCCACAGTGCACAGCGGGAGGATTCTACAGCTTCTTGAGGAGCGGTCTCACATCTCGGCCCCCCAATGAGGCCGGTGGACTCCTTGTCCCCGCTCCCTTCCCGGGCAGGACCTCAGAACCAGGCAGTGCTGGTGACCGTGAGTGGAGCCCAGCTCAGTCAGCACCGCTGTCCTCCCCACACCGCGGGGACAGGCATGCGCCGGGCCGCCCCCTGCAGGCAGTACTGGACCTGGGGAAGCCGGGCCCCCACGAGCGCCACGCGAGGCCGCACCTGCACGCTCACCACACTGCCCCGGCGGCTGCTGCTCCGGCTCTCGGACACCGCCTGGCTGCTGTGGCACAGGGCGTCGAAGGCGAGGATGCCCCCGACGCAGTCCCCGATCAGGCAGACCTGCGAGGGGGACGTGACCCTGAGTGCTCGCTGCTCGAGGAGGTCGCCCTCCACCTCGGGCCAGCCCAGCTCTCACTCACCTGCCCACTGAAGGTCACGCCCTCCTGTGACCTGATGAAGTCCCCGTAGACGAGGTTGGCCCGCTGGATTACTGTGGCAACCGCCTCCTGATACTGGGGCGAGGAGGTGGCCAGCAGGGGCAGCGCGGCCAGCGGGATGTGGTCCTGGCTGCTGGACAGACAGCCCTCATCGTGGCTGTAGGGGCTGAGGCTGAGGGGAAGCAGACAGGTGAGGGCAGGCAGCACCAGCCCTGCTGAAGAGCCTGGCAGCAGGTGGGCAGGGGCCGCTGGTCACGCTGATGCCCACAGCCACTGACCGCAGGCACTGCAGCCTTGACCCAGGGGGCCTGGGCTATGGGTCAGGGGAAGCAGTCCCTGCCCAAGCGGGTGACAAGCCCACTGATCGCCTAGGACAGCTGAGGGTCACCAAGCACATCGTGCTGTGACCCATCGGCCTGGTGAGCCAATCAAGCCTGCTGTCCCCACGTCCATGCTGACTCCCACCCCATGCAGGACAGGGCACCCCGGCCCACGGCTTCCTCGGGCTGGAAGTCGTACAGAAGCAGCTCGCCCCGCCGTTCTCCAGAGAAGCAGCGGCAGATGGGCTCAACCACTCATCTTTAGATTCACAGCCCCCGCTTAACTACAGAACCACCAGGGCTCCTACCAGGTGAGCCCCAAACCAAAGCCAGCGCGCTGCTGACAAGCTGACTTCGGGCGACCGTGACCTCAGGACAGAGCAGAACTGTCCGTGGCAGGGAGGTCGTTCCCTGAAGCGCCCTGGCACATCTTGCTCCCACCGACTGACTGGCAGGCTTGAACTGCCAGCCTTCCGGTTGGCACCTAGTACTTTACTGATGGCATAACCAGGGCTCTGCTGAGCCACTGCGAGGTTCAAATCCTCCCAAATTACAGACATGAAAACTGAGGCAGAGGAGCCACCCGGCGCCCCTGAAGCTTCCCCGGCACTGTACGCGCTGCCTGGACTTCTGGGGGCAGGTCCGAGGCAGGCACCTCCCCTCCGGCCGCAGGACACTCACTTGGAGACCAGGGCAAAGGCGTCGGAGCAGATGGGTGGGCAGGGCACCAGGCGGATGGCCAGATGGCCCAGGGCACTGGGGTAGTGCACGCGCATGACCGTGTCGAACACCGTGGCCAGGGTGTTGGTGTCACCCTGCTTGGAGCTGGGGTCCCCTGCGCCCGTGTCCAGGATGGTACCCCCGTGCAGCACGAGTAGCAGCACATGCACCTTGGAGGGGGGCACGGCCAGCGGCTGGCTGACTTCATCCTGCAGGGGTGCAGGGGAGCATCCCGTGAGGGCCCTGAGGATGGGGCTGCCCTGTCACCTGGTCTTCATGGCTCTGCCGAGAAGCCCTGCGTCAGTTACCAACTATGAGACACCCCAGAACCAGCGTCAGCCCGAGGAGCAGCGGGGGTTAGGGTGGTCCTGTCCCTCCCCCTCCCCAGGTCTCTCAACTGGACGAAGGGCCCAGAGGACAAGGAGGAGCCTGCCCCTGCAAAGCACGGAGGACCCAGGGCTGCCCTCAGGACTCACATGGCTCCTGGTCTGCACTCTGAGGGGACAGAAGCATGGCTGTGGTCACCTGAAGAACCCTCCGCAGGGGGCCCTGCCTCTGCTTGCAGGTCTCAGCTCTTCCTCCCCATGTATGCAGGGTCTCCCAACACCCAAACTACAGGAGTCTCTTCCGGACTGCCCTCAAGGCCACGGACAGGACAAGTCTCCCTAAGACCCTGGGAAGGGCCCCTGTCAGAGCTGTCCTCCCTCCCTCACTAACAGAGAACGGACCTCGGCCTGCCTCTGCGGCAGCCTGCCTCGGGCATGGACACCTCACAGCGGGCACAGGCTTGTCCCTTTTAGAGACCAGGAGCTGATGCCCTAGAGGGCCCAAGGGACTTTGACGTCACATGAGCATCAAGGCCACAGCCACCTGGGGTCAAGCTTGCCCAGCTAAGGTGTGACCCCGTCCCCAAGCTCCTGGTGTGTGAGAACAGGGCCTGAAGGGGTCGCCGCTGGGTCAGGCTGGGAGGCCTGGGGCGGGTGGCAGAGGGAGCTTCCTGGGAGACCCTGTCCAAGAATCACCCACGGCTGAGGCCATCTGGAGGGCACATGGGGGCAGCAGCCCTGAACTGGCCCAGGAGGTGGGAGGCAGGATGCAGCAGCCTCAGAGGTCAGCATGGAGGCCAGGAGGGGTAAGAGGCTCGGGGCAGGCTGCACGGCGGGACAGCCTTCCTGGGAGGTGCTGAGCATAGGCGGGGAAGAGTGAAAGGGGTTCGTGTGGAAAACCGGCAGAGGCCCAGGGTGGGGCTGGGTTGGCTGCCTCCCCCGGCCAATGCCGAGGCTGCCCAGGGGCTGGTTAAGAGACAGGCCTCGGGACAAATGTATCCGCCAGGGTCCAAGTCCATGGCAGGGGGTCACCAAGATGGGCAGGGGCCCTGCAGGGGAGGACGGGGACTGCAGGTAGTCCCCTCCAGGCCTGGGCCTCTTCAGAGACCCTGCTGGGGACACCTCGAGCCCGCACCGCCCCACAGCCTGAGCACCTGAGCCTCTGCACCCCCAAAGGTCACTGGGGGCTGCTCTAGGGAGTGAGGAGCTTGTACTCTGGATCACCGTCCCCCCAGAGCTGCCCCAGCAGAGGCCAGGGGAGCTTTCCCGGCAGGACTGTCCTGTCTGGGGTTCCTGCAGGCCAAGGGGCCTGCCTCTGGATGGCGCCCCCCAGGTGGAGTGGGTGTCAAAGCAGCCATCAGGATGCAGGTCCCCCCGGAGGGGGTCAGAGCCGACTGCACTGGGGGTGGCGTGCTCATTCTGTCTGTGTAGCCGCCAGGACGCATCGGCTCTTCTAGAAAAGCCCACTGCCTTCCAAGGAGAGCCCCAGGAGGTGAGGACAGTGGTGCAGATGCCCCTCCCCCAGCCCAGCCCAGCACCCCAAGAGTCCAGCCCCAGGGTGTCCTCTCCATGGGTCAGCCCAGGTTCTGGCCCTGGTGTGAACAGCTCTGATCAACCCGGGGGACGAGGCACAAGGTCCGCAGAAGACCCCCAGTGGACGTGGCAGTCACAACGTGGCTTTGTTGGCCACTTAGAGCCCACCCGCAGGGCCACCAGCGGCCTGTGGCCGTCACGTCCGCTGAGGTCTCCCCCCCTTCCATTCTTTTATCCTTCCTAAACACCGTGGATGAGACGGCGCTCCTGCTTTTGGTCTGAAATACACAAGTTGCCAGTTTTCCTTTCCCACAATAGGGAGACTGTCGGGGTTTCCACCTCTGCTGTCCATGTCTCCTCCCCGACAGCTCCCCAACCACAGGAAGGAGCACAGAGCTGGGCTGTGCAGGGCTCTGGCCCCCAGGAACCCACCTCGATGATGTTCAGCTGTTCCACACTGGAGGCGACCCTGAACCCCCGAGTGCTCTGCTGGTACACTCCGTCTGCAATGAGAGCCGACTGAGCGGAGTGGGGACACAGCCCTGATCCAATCCAGCCCTTCCTCAGGGCCGTGCTGGGCTGCAGCCCAGGTCCAGACGGGGATGAGAGCGCTGTCCTGCACCCCTATCCCGCCCCACCCTCACCTGTGGCAGGAGCTGTGCATGCTCTGGTTCTAGTGTGCCCTGCAGCCCATACGCCTACTCAGTCCCACCCTGCGCATCCCAGGGCTCTAGTGTGCCCTGCACCCCCCACCCCACCCCTGCCCTGCTCTGCCCTCTGCAGTGCCCTGCACCCCCTCACCCCACCCCTGCTCTGCCCTCTGCAGTGCCCTGCTCCCCCCAGGTCCATCCTGGTGGCAACCCAGGGCTCTAGTGTTCCCTGCACCCCCCTCACTCCACCCCTGCCCTGCTCTGCCCTCTGGCATCCCGGGGCTCTGGCGTGCCCTGCATCCCACCTCATCCCGCCCCGTGCAGTACCTGGCGTGTCCTCTGGCTCTGGGCTTTCAATCTTGTCCATGAGGTCATTGGAGTTCCACTTGCTGATGTCCTTGGGGAATATGTCCTCTGAGTCTGACAAGTCCTCTGCAGAAGGGGCGCAGGGAGAGTGGGTTATAGGGAGGGGAGGGGGCGAGCAGTGTGGAAGCCCCTGCGCTCCAAGATCCCCCAGGGCCAGCCAGGCCCCCAGTCTGCGCTGTGCTGGTTTACCCCTCAGCTCTCTCTTAGCAGTGGTCCTGCACACCCACCCTCACTCCGCCAGGGCCTCCTGCCGAGGTTCCCAAGTGTCGACAAGGTTCCAGTGAGTGAGGAGCACAGGCAGAGGCCCTTGTCGTAACTGCGAGTGAGACGACAGACCGGGCTCCAGCTGGGGCCAGCTCCCAGAGTCTGGCCATGGGTGATGCCCACTGCACCCCATCTGTCCCCACTGTGTGCATGTCGGGGGAAATGTCCAGGCCTGGCCAGAAGGGCTGTCTGGCAGGGCTCACTGCAGGGCTGGTCCAGCACCCAGCTGTGGACAGAGCTCCCCTCAGGGCCTGGGCTCCAGGACAAGCCATGGACCCTGATTTCAGCCTGGACACTGACTTTCCAGGCTTCTCCCTTCACAGCAGACATGGGCTCTTGCCGGCTCGGGGGGCAGAGGCTCGGCAGTGGGGAGGCCGGGGGGGCTACTCTATCCTGGGGGCCTCATGTGAGTCCAGGCTTGCTTCCGTGGCAGGAGGTATCTCCCTGCTCCTGGACCCCGTTTACTTGCTGAGGCCACCCCAGTACAGAGCCAGTGGGCTTTTTATGTACTGTATTTGATCTTTATAAAATAAGAAAAAACCCCCAACAAGGTTTATTTCTACTTTCTAAACTGTCTCCATTGCTGTCGTTAGATGACCGAGTTAGATGATGGTCACACATGGCGAGCGGACAGACCACGTCACTCCGGGCGAGCCTCCCCCTGTACTCAGCCCTGCCTCATCCAAGCCCTCTGCTGCGGCTCTACATCACATGGAGGTAATCAAGGAAAAACTGATGGAATTCGTATGAAAAAAAGACATCAAACTACGCCAAGCTATACCTTTGCAAAGTTTATGAAAGCAAGCTCACACACTGGGACAAGGCTCTGGTTTATGATGGGCTTGGAGGTTTTGGTTTCTACCGTCTGGGTGCTCTGCACATCTGGTGACCCCTCAGGGTAAACTGGAGACTCCAGATTCAAGGGACCAGGGCTCTGGGCCTCGCCTCATGCCCTGTACCACTGCCATACACCCAGAACTTTGTGCAGCAAACTCCCACCTCAATCAACACCCCTATCCAAATCCTTCTGGGAGCCCCGAGCCGACCCCGCTCGCTGCCCACGGCAATCTGTGGAGAAAGGGCGTACCATGGGCATCGAAGAACTCATCGTCGGAGCTCTCGTCAGAGTCTCTGGCAATGCTCTGCATCCTCCACTCCGAGATGCTGTGGCGAGAAGGACTCGCTGGAAGGCAAAGCCCACACTAACCACACAGCCCACTGGCCGCCAAGGAGCAACCGCTCTTCCAGAGCCCAGGGGTGCAGGGGAGCAGGCCTCCGGCGGAAGGCGACTACCCCGCGAAAGGTGGCTGGGACAGGGACCACGAAGACTCTGGGGCAAGGATCCTCTCCGGGTGACGGCCCCGTCCAGCCCGACGGTCACATGCGACCATGTCCCCCCACAGAGGGGACACGAAGTCAGCTGAGAGGGCTGTCAGGCGTGGCCTGTGGTTTACTCCTGCATCTGACCCTGAGCAAGGCTCCCTTAGAGGACAGGCCAGCAGCATGACCAGGGCTCAGGACTGGGGGAATTCACCAGATAAAAGGCAGACACTTCAAATATCTCACTGGACGTAGCTGGGTTTGCAGGAGGGACTCTCACTTTACATGTGTCACCCTGCTTGCCCTGTTCTCAGAAGCTCAAGACTCTCAGCCCTGGCCCGAGCAAGGCCTGTCCCAACCCTGATGCCCACCAGGCCCCTGATCCTGTCCCCGTCTCAGGGGCAGAGACACCCTCCCCACCTCGCCCCAGACCTGGTGGGGGCCCTGCCTGTCTCACTCTCAGCTGTACAGGCGAGAGGCAAGTCCTCTGAGGACAGAGGGCGAACTTGGACAGGGAGGAAAGTTCTGGCCCCACAGGTTAGCACTGGGAGGTGTCAAGAGCGTGTGCCTGGTCTCAGCATTGGGGCAGTTGGGCTGGGCATGGGCTGCCCCCCATGGGGAGAATGGATGGGGAGGTGCCCTCCCCAGGAGCCCAATACCTGGAAAGCAGGGCACAGGATACCCCCAGGCCCTCCCCACTTCTGCCTTGGGGTCCACCACCAGCATCATTAAGGGCACGGGGTCTGGAATGCCACCATGGGCTCACCTCCTCGCTTGGATGACCTGGACGACTTGGAAGACGTGGACCACTGCTTCTTGAGGCCCCGTCCAGCCAGGGTCTCCCCATTGCTGCTGCTGGGCTCAGTGGGCTCCCCGGAGATCTGGTCCTGGGCATTGGCATCCTTGGCGAGCTCTGTGGCCTCCTCATCCTCACTGAAGTGGGCCATCTTCCGGGACAGCACGAGCTGAGCCTCCTTCTCCAGCTCCCGGATGTTGTCCATGCTTAGCCCAAACCACTCATCCTGCCAGCACCAGGCCTGCCTGTGGGCCCGCACCATCACCCTCCGCAGGCCTGGTGCCCACGGGCATGGAGCGGGGAGGAGGGTGGGCGGAGGGAGGGAGAGACACAGGAGGGGAAGGGGAGGAGAGAGACAGGAACGGAGAGATGGGAAAGGAGACAGGCAGAGACGCACTCACGGGCAGAGACGGAGAGGGGTAAGAGACAGAGAGAGGAGTCAGGCCCGAGCTGGCCCAGAGCCCCCAGCCTGGGTTGGGCTGGGTCAGCCCACAACATCAGCAGCTAGTTCTGACCACACTGGCAGAGCAGCCTCCGGCAAACAATGCCCATCTGTGCCTCAGTTTCCCCTTCTGTACGGGGGGGATTGGCCTACATGGTCTCTGAGGGTCTGCCCAGCCTCAGCCCACAGTGATTCCATAACTATATCAAGGGCCCCCCTGGGGGAATGACACACTGTGTTTTGGGGCCAGTGAGTTTCCTGTCCGTAGGGGAAGCTGGCACAGGACTTCCTGAGAGTCTCTCTCATCTCTGTGTCCAGTGACTACCCCTAACATCCATTGAACAGCACGGTCAAACCAAATTGGCCTTACTTTTTCAGAAAAAAACAACAACAAAGCACCAAAAAACCCAAACTACTTCCAAGAAAATACATTGTGCATATAAAACAAAATACTTCAGGTATATAGAATAAGAGAAATAACTACAGAGACAGAAAGCTGATTAGTGGTTGCTTGGGGTGGGGGCGGAGGCGACCGCAGACAGAACAAAGGAACCGTCCAGGTGAATAATGTTCTAGCACTGGGTTTCAGGGATCGGTGCACACACTGAATAGACGACGTTTAAAATTAAGCCTCACTAATGCTGGTTTTTTAAAAACGTAACTCCACATCCACATCAGTCAGCTAGGAGCGAACACAGGGTGACCTGCACATACGTACCCCTCCCTCCAGGCCTTCCTCCCCGCCCACCAGGGGTCCATCTTGAATCTGGGGTTTGCTGTTTTTCTCTGCAGTTTTATAGTGTCATGGACTGAACTGTGTCCCCCCACCCCCCCATGTGATTACACTGTGGAAGCAGCGCCATGATTCCCAGGCTCTAAAACACAGTCCTTGTGAATGGATTTGGAGGTCAATGCAGCACCCCCTAATCCCAAGGCAGGCCTGATGAGTGTCAGGGGAGCCCCCTGGGATGTAGCCCATGATGCCTTTCATCTCACAGGTGCTAGTTAAATGGTAGGGAAAGCAAGCTGAGCATGGGGGACCTCAGGAGAGAACCGACAGTGTCTGTGGGACACCTGGAAATGGCCAAGGAACGTCACAAGGAACCATGGACTTTGGTCCACGTGGGGGGAAGACGGTCTTCTGGTACTGGCACCCGACTGAGGGCTCGTCAGCTCGCACATGGCAGGAGAATAACTTTCTGATCTCTGTTAGAGCAGCACCGACCAAGCCCACATCTCTCTTCCTCAACAATATATGGGCACACTTCCTTTTCCTGGAGAAAGATGGGCCCTCTCCCAGAGATTTACTGCCTCTGAGAAGCCGCTGGAGGGTCAGCGCCGGGTTGGTTCCTAGCCAACAGCACATGACAGCAACAACAGCAGCAGCTCCACACTCTGCGCTGCACAGACGTGAACGGTTCCCACCCTGGAGGCTTAAGGCAGCCCTGCTCTGAGCAAGTTTACCGGCACCAGTTTTCAAACAGCGCACGCCAGTGTCCGCTCTGTCACTTACTGGCCACTCTCACACCAGCTGCTCCGTAGGAGAAGGGTGGGCAGTCTCCTCCCGGGGGATTTACTGTCTCTGAAAACTGGCTGGAGAGTCAGTGGTGGGCATGACCCGAGGGCACACAGCAACAACAACAGTGTGTCAAAGGCTTTCCTTCCGCTACTGCACATTTAACAGACTACAGGACAGAGTCAGCATGATGTTTTTACGGGCTGGGAAACCAAACATTTTGAGTGACCCACTTAGTGGGTGGGTCTGCACACTACTCAGTTTCTAGTCCACATCGGCCTGCCTATCCTTTCCGTCACTGGCCTTCACAGTGAGCTTGATCACACTGGGGTAAGACTACACAGCACATTATTTGTTTTGCTGTTCAAAGCTTTACTTGCCCACAGCCCTGGCTGCCTGTCCTGTCTTGGGGAGGTGGGAGTGGGGGAGGTGGGATGGCTGTGGCGATGGCCCAGTCAATGATCACCCAGGATGACCCCATGGGAGCAGAGTGGAACTGTCCCCCAGGGTTTCCACAGCTGAGACCTGGCGGGAGCGAAGACCAGCCCTTTGCTCCAAGATGCCGTAAGAGGTTGCAGCTAGTCAGGCGCTCAGCAGTTATACCCAGGGACCCTGGGGCGAGGGCGCTGTGAGCCAAGTGCAGACAAGAACTGGGGTGAGTCTCGGGGGCGGGGCCAGCGGGGCTCACCAGTGTCGTGGATGAACCTCTCGATCTTGGACTGCATGCCCCAGTAGCGGAACTCCACCTTGCACAGCTTGTAGGCGCACATGATGGGGAACACGTGCTTCTTGTACTCCTCGATCCAGTTGTCAGACAGGGGGCCCCGCTGGGTCTTGGTGGACTGGAACAGCTTGGGGTCCTCTTCTGTCTTGTACTCACTGGGAGGCACTGAGTCCTTGACAATGTCGATGAAGTCTGTGGGGACACGGAGACAGTGGCCGCCCCCTGGCCTGGCATCGCTCCCGGCCTTCCTGTCTAATTGACTCCCCATGCCTCTCCACTCAAAATCCCCCACATTCTCAGCTGTGCATCCCCCAACACGTGGTCCTTCGCCAATGGAGCCACTGAGGGCTCATGTGCACGGGGGGCTGCACACTGGGGGCTGCGGAGCTACATTTGACCCCCACATGTGCCCCGTGTGGCCAGGACACATGATAAAACCATTAGTTGCCAGCATTTAAGAATTGAGACATTTCCCACACGGACTCTGGTCTCTGGCTTCTCTTGGGAAACAAGAATCAGGTAGAGAGTCTTCCAACAGGCAAACAACGGCTGGTGGGGCGTGGAGCGGGATCCACCCACAAAGGGGATGAGGTGACCCTGCAGAGGCCACAATCCCCCCATGTTCTCATGCAGGCCTGTCACGGCCCCTGGGAGCGGGCTCCCTAAACCATGGCCATGCTCATACTTTGAAGGGAAGACACTATGCCTCAGTTTGTATGTCAGAAAAACGGGGTGCAGATTCCCAGCCTGTGCCTCCCGGCGCCCACGACTGACCTAGCCCCAGTCCGGGCAGAGGGCAGAGGCGAGGGGTCTCCGCACCAGAGTGTGGGCCGGGACACGCCCTGCCGGGGCTCCCGGCCACCCGGGGAACTTACCGATCATCAGCTGGCTCTTTTCCACAGGAGACAGGCTGAACACATTGGAGTTTTCTCCAGCATCGGTTTTATAAAAGGTCTCGATGTCGATGGAGAATTTCTCCACAAAAGGGCATGTGAACCTGAAAGGAAAGAAGCAAGTGCAGGACCCACTAAGACCCCCAGAACAGCCAACCAGGGCAAACTCGGGAGAGTGGGGGTCTGGTCTTGGTGGGAAGGGAGGAGGGGACCTGAGACTTGTCTGTCATCAGCTCCCAGCCCAGGCCTTCACTGTCACAGTCAAGTCCAGGCTGGGGGATGGGCTGGAAGGACATCCGCCTGCAGGCTGCCTGCCCTAGCCTATCCTCTGGGAGAGACTGAAGTGAGTCTGAATCCCAGGCCTGGCTCTGTAGGGTGTCCACCCAGAATGGAGGCACACCTGGGGCCCAGTCCTGGACTCCACAGTCTCCCTGATTTGAACGTAGGAGTGTAACTGGGACCCCACATTTAGAGCAGGGTAGCTTACCTGGTCTGGATATAGGGATATGCTGGGGGTCTCTGTCTAGGATCACCTGGTCCAAATGTAGGGGTGTGCTGGGGGGGTCCCTGCTAAGGATTAGGTGGTCCAGATGCAGGGATGTATTGAGGTCCTGGCTAAGGACTAGGTGGTCCAGGTTTAGGGGTGTGCTGGGGTCCCAGCTAAGGGCTAGCTGGTCCAGATGCAGGGATGTATTGAGGTCCTGGCTAGGGACTAGATGGTCCAGGTTTAGGGATGTGCTGGGGGTCCCGGCTAAGGACTAGGTGGTCGAGGTTTAGGGGTGAGCTGGGGGCATGGCCCACCTGGTCCGGGTGTAGGGGTAGGCATTCCAGGACTCCTCTACCACCCGCAGGGCCGCCTTGGGCAGGATGGAGCGGAACCAGCCCGGGATGTGCATGCCCACATGGTACACCTTGTGCGTGTACTGCCCGGAGCCACCAGGCCCATCCGAGTAGGGCCGGTTCTCCAGGATCTCCACGCCACTGCCTTCCCCAAACGTCTCGTTGCGGCTCTTCTTCTGTGGAGACAAAAGGCCATGGGCTCCAGAGGGTACGCAGGGATGGGCCCTCTGCTGCTTTTCAGGACCCCATTCTCGTATGGCACCCCCGATCTTAGAACCCCAGAAGGCATCAGGGACAGGCTCTGTTCAGAGGAGGGCGGGGGGGGGGCCCGGATCTCAGGGCCCCAGAGGACATCAGGATGGGCCCTGTGCTGCTCTTCAGGCCCCATTCTCGTATAGGAGCTCACAGGCAGCCCGGACCTCAGGGCTCCAGAACCACAAGCTGGGTCTGAACCCCCGGCCCAGGCCTTCTCCCCGCAGCGCCTTCTTCCTGGGTGATGAAGGAAATCTAAACCTGACCGTGGTGATGGCTCTACAGCTCTGAGCAAGCAGGACTGCGGTGGCTGAACTGCATGCTCCAGAGGTGAGCCCCCGGTCTGTGACTGATGTCATCACACGACAAGACCACATCAGCCTCTCAGGCTCAGTAACTCAGGTCACATGTAGCCAGTGAGGGGGCCTAGAGGCATTATGAAGCAGGACGCCTGGGTCACCTCACAGCTGCTCTGCCCCATCACCCTGCCCAGTCTCCAACACTCAGGTCCTGCTCCTGAAGCAAACGGTGTGTTTGAGGCCCAGCCCGTTTCCACGGTGACATGATGGCATCGCCAAGGCCACCTCGGTCAGCTTCCCAAGCTGCAGGGGCTGTGTATGCCCCCTCACACATGTGCACCCCTAAACACCATGCACCCATGCATGTACACCCCCACACCCACCCACAACACACCTGTGTACACACTTGCCCACCCACCACATGTACATACCCTGTAAAGGATTCACAAACACATGGACACGTGGTGACAGGCGCGGCGCTGGGCACTACCATCAGGGCTCACTCAGTCCCGGATGGCACCTCACAGAGTGGGCGACAGGTACACAGAGGGCTGTGCCCAGCCATGCCAGCCCAGGCAGGGGAATGCCCTTGTCAGGACGTGGAGGAGCAGGCCTGGCTCTGTGGGAATCCCACTACCTATACACTCAGGGGACAGGCTGCAGACACGTGTCCCTGGGGGCCCGTGAGCACCAAGCACTTGCCAGTTGGCTCTGTCCCTTAGCACAGTGGCAGGTGGGGGGATCACGCCCACCTCCACCAGGGCTGAATTCTAGTCCCTGGCCCTGCAAGCACCCTGTTTGGAAACAGAGGGTTTCTTTAGTTCTCCAGGGCCAGTGAGGGTGCCAGGGGATCTGAATTCTGCCTCCAGCTCTTCCTACCTCAGTCTTCCCATGTGTGAACTAAGAAACTGGCCTTTAAGAGCCAGACTCGGCCCAAGCTCTATGAGGTGCGGGCTTATGTGACAGATAGTGACAGATAGTGGGCATGGAGAGGCCCAATCACTTGTCTGCTGTCTCTTCACTTGCACGTCTGAGCCAATGTCCATAGGGTCAGAGACTCAGAGCAGACAGCAGCAGGGAATCAGTCGCAGGGGTGCAGGACCTGCACAGACCAGGCGGCAGGGCTGCAGTCAGCAGCGGCCTGGAGATGGCAGGGCCAGCGGGCTGGTCTGTGAGGTGGGTGACAGGTGAGTGGACACGCTGTAGTGACCTGGGTTTCTATGTGAGAACGACACCCAGCCCAAGGGCCCCCGGCCCCACGCAGACGGCACTGCTTCCAGGCTGGACACGCATGGCCGCACAGTCCGGCCTTTCCCCTGGTCGGCTCACTGAAGGGGCAGCAAAGCTAAGGTGCTGGTGCTCCCAGAGCAGGGCGGGGGGCTGACCCTGACACTCAGCGAGAGTGGGGCTGGGGAGCTGGGGTCCTGAGGGTCCAGTGAAGGTGGCTAGGTAGTGGCTGTCTAAGGAGACTGACTCAGGGGGTTCACAGGAGGCTGCAGGGTCACTGGGAGCACAGACGTGGGCAGTAAAATGCTCCCAAGAGGACCTGGAAGCAGCGGGCATTTCTCTGGAGTCAACATCACTGAAGCCCAGACCCCAGAGCACCACCATCAAGCCAACACTGCCTCCTGGTGACCCTGCAGCACAGGGCAGATCCGCCCTGTGTGGCTGATCCATTCTCCCGGGAAGCGCGTGGGGTCGGAACTGCCAACTCTGAAGGGCTATCTTCAGAGTCCGGGACTCCTCACCCTGGTGCTCTGTGGAGCTGACTGGCAGAGCGGGGGAGGTGACTGGGGTGCCAGGACAGGGGTGCCTGCCTCACTGGGGGGCGCTGACTGGGGGCCCTGACAGGGGTACCTCACTGGGGGGCGCTGACTGGGGGCCCTGACAGGGGTGCCTCACTGGGGGGCGCTGACTGGGGGCCCTGAAAGGGTGCCTCACTGGGGGGCGCTGACTGGGGGCAAGCAGCCTGGCCACCCAGCAGTGCGGCAGAGCAGCGCGCTACCAGAGGCTGTGCTAATTTCAGGCCTGCAGCAGTTCCTGTCTCTCCTGCCGCCTCTCTAGGAATAATTAAGGGGTAACTTGTTCAAGAGGAACCTGAGTGAACAGTGCCTACGACACTGCTCCGAGCAGAGCATCCCAGAGAGGCTGCATACTGCCTGCCCACCACTTCAGGGCCAGGCCTCCCACCGGGGAAACCCGCTCCGACCTCCAGCCTCTTTCAGGGCCACGGAAGCTGTGCTGAGGCCTCTGAGTGGGCTGAGAGAGGTCATGGTGGAGACAGCAGGTGAGGGCATGCAGGGCAGGGGTCCTCCTGTGCACTGACAGGGTGGGATGCTTGGCAGTGGCACCAAGAGACCACTTGAAGGGGAGCTCTGGTGGCCTAGTGGCAAGAAGCAGCACTGCAATCCCAGAGGAACACGGTTCGAGTCCACCAGATGCTCTGCCGGAGAAGGAGGCGCAATATCCTCCTGTACCAGTCAGATCTGATTTGACAGTACACGCACACAAAATAAAAAATTAAAAAAAAAAAAAGAGACCACTTGGAAGCAGCCCATGGGAGGCAGGGAGGCCGCAGACACATGAAATGCTCCAGGGGGCTGGGGCCAGGACCTTAATCAGTGTGGGGGCTGGGCCCCTCCCCTCAGAGGAAGGGAGCTGCCCGGCTGGACACAGGGCAGGCAGCTAAGCAGAGAGAGTCTCCAGAGAGCAAGGATCCAGCCAGGAGCCCCAAGGAGAAGTATGGCTACACTCGGGCCAACAGAAGCTGGGTCCCGTGTCCTTGGCTGACTAGAGACTAGACCAGCCTCATCCCAGGACTGGGTCCATTCTCAACCTGTCACCAGGCTCCCGTGTGCCTCCGCCAACCTGCATGCATCAGACAACACCATCTGCCGGTCACACGAGGTAGTGCAGACAGTGACTCACTCACACACACACACACACACACACACACACACACACACACACACACACCCCTCCCTCTCCCATGGGGCCCTGCACCAGACCCCTGAAGGGGCGGCCACGGGGGCGAGGGCTCACCTGGATCATGTACAGCTGGGCAATGCGGTACTCCTCCACGGTCATCGGCAGAGGGATCCGGTATTCCTTTATGATCATCTTGGAGTCGAGCCTTCCCGCTGATGGGAACTGCGAGCTGGGACTGCTAGGCAAGGCTCCTTAAATCACCATGACAGATCTCCCTGCGGACCCCTGAGGAGAGGACAGGATGGCCACCGTTGTGAAGGCTGGCAAAGGCAGTGGCCACAGCCCTGGTCTCAGCTTTACCACAGCCAGGGGCATGGCTGGGGGCATGTCCCCGCCCTTCCCTTTGTCGCTATGGGTTAAGCGAGTTTGTACAGTGGCTGGAAGTGCCAGGTGAGGTGTGCAGACTCTGACAACAGCCTGGTGGGCACCTCGATGTCAGCTGGCTCGGCAGTCCACAGAGACAATGCTCTTTGGCAACTGAGGTCTTAAGTTCACGAGTGGCCAGCCAAGGATGGTCTCTCCCCATTCGGGGCAAAGAAGAAGGAAGAAAATCAAAGACCCAGGAATGCAGTTAGTCCAAAGGATTCTGAGCACTGAAGAACTAGACGGGACCCAGCTCCCACTGCCGACTGCTCAGAAATCAACCGTGGGAGGAGGTGCTGGATCGAGACATGGGAACAAAACAGAAAATCGTAAAAAGGAACAACCAGCCCGACACTCCTGAGATACTCTTCAAGCCTGAAACTGAACTCACTAACTCTTGTGGCTCAATTCTCAGTCCAGCAGTAGATAAGCCTAAAAGGTGAATAGTAAGGTTGGTGGTTCAAACCTACCCAGAGGCTTCTCGTGGATCCAGCCCACGAAAATCCTCCTCCACACCGTGGGTGGGTGTGCCATGAGCCGAAATCCAATTGCCACCAACTGCTGTCGTTTTAAGGGACTTACAACTAAAATTTCTAGAATATTCCAGCATCTCAACAAGAAAAAGGTAAACAACCCAATTTCAAAATGGGCACAGAAAAAAAATGGGCACAGGATCTGAACAGACACTTCACTAAAGAAGACATTCAGGCGGCAAACGAACACATTGAGAAGTGTCCAAAGTCCCTGGCTATCAGAGAGAGTGCAAATCAGAACCACTATCAGAATCATCTGACTCCAGCAACAATAGCAAAGCCCAACAGGGCAGCAAACAGTCAAATGCTGGCAAGTTGTGGAGACTGGAATTCTTGTTCACTGCTGCTGAGAATGTAAAATGGTACAGCCACTAGGGAAAGCAGTCTGATGCTTTCCCAAAATGTTGGCAATAGAAATACAATTTGACCCAGCAATTCCACTACTAGGAATGTACCCTACAGAAACCAGAGCCACACCGCAAACAGATGTATGCGCACCCATGTTTACTGCTGACTTATTCACAATAGCAAAGAGATGGAAACATCCCAAGTGCCTGTTAACAAGTAAATGGGTAGAAAAACTATGGTACATTCACACAATAGAATATTATGCAGCACTGAAAAACAATGACCTCAGAAAGCATTACACAACAGGGGAAATCCTGGAGGACATTATGCTGAGTAAAATATCTCAGTCATAAAAGGATAAACACGGCATTAAACTGCTGTTATAAAATAGGACAGACATAAGGGGGTTGGGGAGAGACTGGGAAGAGTGGACAGATAACAAACACTGCGTTAGATCAGATGAGCGGGGGGCTTGTCTGAAAGGAATATATGATTAGGCATTTTGTGGATGGCAACAATCTGGAACAAAGGGTGCACTGCAGGGAGAGCTGGGGGGAAGACAACGTTCAACAACGAAAAGAAAAGATACGAAACAGAATTCGCATCTTCAGCAGCCTTGCCCGCCAGGGCCGCCACGAGTCAGAATCGGCTTGAGGGTGACGGGTGCTTATGCTCATCTTCACGCTTCCTTTTTCTCCTTGAGAAGACTCTACATCACTGGTCCCGTCAGGCTGATTCCAACCCAGAAAGAGCCTGAGCGAGTCACCTTGTACCGGAGCTTCTGGGGAGCACCAGCCTTTCCCTGGAGGTGCCCCTGAGCCCACTGGAACCCCCACCTCCCTGCTGGCACCACCCAGGGGCTGTGGGCCCTGCTCGCCATGTGTGTCTGCTCTTTCTGCTTCCTATCATGCCCACAGGCTTAATCACAAGGCTCACAGGACCCATCCAAGTGGCCACACGCGGCTGTGAACCTCCCACTCCCACGTGGCGCCCTGCAGGGTGACCACTGCCTGCCCCACTCAGACACCCCACTGCGGATGCGGCTTCCAGTCTGCACTGCTGTGAACATTTCAGCACGTGAGACTTGACCTGATGTGGTAACGGCCGCCGGCGGAGGGGTCTCGTGCAAGGGTCATTCCTAAAACCGGAGCTCGGTTTCCAGCAACGGAAACGAGGGGACGGGAGGGGGGGGGTAGCGGCAGAGCGAGCGAGGCTGGGTACTGATCAGCACTGGCCTAGCGGGCTTTGCTGTGAACCGTGCTGACCTTGTGAACTCTGACACCTGAGAGAGATGGGTCCCTGGGCTCCACAGAGACAGACACTGGCTCTGGGGAGACGGTCTGGCAGTTAGTAAACCCAAACCGCAGCTGCAGACACTCTTGTCACACTATACTCTCCACACACTGCTCACCAGCCGGCTGAACAGTAACAGTCAGAAAGGAACCACCGTGAGGTCTAGGCTTTTGAAAGCACCACGGGAGGGCGGAGACCATGCACACTTGGAGAAACATAATGACTTAGAGAAGGTTCTCCACAGACTCGGAGGTGTTACACAGTAACCACTTAAAAAGATGTTCCGAATAACCACTTAAAACCTGTGAGAGGCAGGAGTGAGAAGAAAAAGGACTCACTGAACAACAGAAGGTGAGCTAGCGGAGCTTAAGAAAAACAGGGAAGAAAAAGACAATCACCACAGGTACTTTTTGAAAATCTGTATTTAAAAGCAATAAATCATAGAACAAGTATTCCTAAAGAACTAGGTGGACTTAGAAATCCCACAAAAAATCAATGGAGAAGAATAAGGCAAAACAGCAGAGAAAGGGGCAAACGGGGATTCAAGATAAAGGTAACGCACCTGCTTCAGGATGGAAACGATAAGACGAGCAGTGACAACATGTCAAACACGCGATGGGAAATTCCTTGAAACACATACACTTGATTCTACAGGTTAAAGTGGTCTGTTGTGTCCTGGGAAAAGCTGTTAGAGTATTTCACCCCTACACAATCCTGAAAAAGTTACTTAAAATGTAACTCCACAATCAACACTCTTGGCACCAGCAGTCATGAAATCAAAAGACAAATTGTCCTGGGGAAATCTGCTGTCAGGGACCTCTCCAGAATACTGAGAAGCAATGATGCCAGTTTGGAGACTAAGGTGTGCCTGATCCAGGCCATGGTCTTCACAATTACTAACTACGCATCAGAGAGCTGGACACTAACGACGGATGACAGAAGAATTAATGCCTGCGAGTTGTGGTGCTGGAGCTGAGTCTTGAATATATCATGGCCCACCAAGAAAACAAGTCAGTCTGCCTTGGAGAGAGTGAAACCAAGTTTCTCCTTGCAGGTTAGGAGTCTGAAGCTCCATCTCCTATATTTCAGACATGAGGCCAGGAGAGCCCAGTCCTTGGAAAAGGTCATCATGCTTGGAAGGGTGGAGGGACAGCGCAGTAGTAGAAGATTCCGGGTGAGATGGATTGATACAGTAACTGGGGCAATGGGGGTAGGTGCGTCAGACTCAGTGAGACTGGCTCAGAATAGGGCAGACTTCAGAGCTGCTGTACACAGGGTCACGATGAGTCGCAGGTGATTCAACAGCACATAACTATTATTGTTGAGCACAACAGACACAGCAGGACGCACATGATCCTACAGCTTCTACGTGGGCAATTTGGTGATGACTACATCCTCTTCAGGCTGTCAGAACCATCCCACCCTTCTTTTTCCATGTCAAGTTTTTGTTTTATAAATATTATATACAGAATGTTGTTGTTGTAGTGTAGAGTTGGAACCAACCCATAGCTGATCCTCCAGCGGGTTTTCACAGGCAGTTAAACACACAGGAGGAGAAATCCCATCCTACTCCCATGCAGCAGCTTGAGGATTCGAACTGTGTGCCTTTGGGATTGCAGCACAGATGCTTACCACTAGTCTGCCAGAGCTCCTATATACAGAATATGATCTAGTAAGTTCTTACTCCACTCTCACCTGCTCTGTCTGTCTGCACGCTGCCTGGGGTGGTGGTCTAGCGGTGGTCAGGATTAGCCGGTGCATTTGGGGAACATTTACTTGTCTTGTCCCCTTGGGGTGAATCGTCACAGGCAGCAGACGAGTTGCAGCAGAGCTGGTCAGTTTAGTGATTAAAACCATGGGCGACGAGCCAGCTGGACCTTCCACTATCTCTGAGCTGTGACCTTGGACCAACTGTTTCGTCTCTTTGATCTTTCATTTTATTTTTGCGAAATAGGAGTAAGAATAGCACCCACAGGGCTCACGGGGTCACCTGACAAGAGTGGGCCGCAAGCCCCTCTTGCCTGTGTGTTGACCCTGCTCCCAGTGACCACGCGGGACAGGACAGGACTGATCTCAGGGCTTCTGAGGCTTCAAAGCTTTACCAAGGAATACTGCCACCTCTTCCTTCCTTGCAGTAGCTGGTGGGTTCGAACTGCTGACCTTTCCGTTAGCATCCACCACTTAACCTACCATGCCGTTAGCGTTCCTTCCTGGAAAGCAGCTCTTGTAAAGCAGGGCCCAGAAGCTTCCTGGCCAGGGACTTGAACAGGCGCCGACCTACTGCCACGAGGAAAGGGGCCAACAGGTGGAGGGAGGAGAGAGGAAGGGACGCAGGGAGGAGGAAGGGAGGGATGGAGAGAACAGGGAGGGTAGAGGAAGGGGAGGAGGAGGATGGAGGGAGGGAGGGAGGATGGGGAGGGTGGATAGAGGATAAGGGAGGGCAGAGGGAGGATGGAGGGAGGATGGAGAAGTACACAGGGAAGGTGGAGGATGCAGGGGGCCCTGCAATGGCCTCTCTTGGCTTTGGAGCCATATCACGGACTTCTTAGGGCAAGGTGGGGTCACGCTTGCTTGCCCACCGCATTGTGCCCCCCA